CCATAACCGCATCCCTGCCCTCCCTGAGACAGGTCTGCAGCCACCACCATGGCCTGTGTCTGGCCATCCCCCAAGAAGCAGCACTGGGAACCCCACGATGTCCCATCTGGGGACCAGAGCTGTCACAGCCTCCTCCACGAGCATCACTTCTCTCCCTGGCCCATGCACCCCCCGAAACCATGGCGATGCCTCAGCGTGCAGCCAAAATGAAAGGCAACTAGCATTTAGCGTTCCTCTGAAGTCCTCCCCAGCTCGCTGTTTGCTCCCCTGGCTGGGTTGTGCTGGTGGCAAGCGCTCTCCTCCCCCAACCCCATCCTGATGAGCCCCGTTTCCGTTAGCTGGCTTCGGGGCGGCCCAGGCCATTGGAAACCCGCTTTCTCTCAGGGTTTGGTGAAGCAGCGGGTCTCCGGCAGCGCAAGTGCCCTGACATGTTCTCTAGCTCTCTCCTTCTGTCTCGGATGCCTCATCCTACAGGTAGAGCAAGTTAATAATTAACCCGCCTCAGCCCCTGCAGACCCCAGTGACTCCCAGCTGAATCACTAACCCTGGCAGCAGGAAGAGCTCAGCCTTGCGAGGCTGGTGCCCTGGGGCTCCGAAAGCTGCTGTTTAATGATAAAAGAAGCAAATGAGAAGCACTGCTCTTCTGCCACATCTCCCCCACCCACCCACCCTCACTTCTGCTAAGGCTTCGCGAAAGCCGTAACTGGCAAGTGTGGGAAATGGGGCAGAAGGCGCTGGTTTTGTGTGCCAGCTGCTCGTGGCAGGATCCAGAGGGGGCCCGGTTCTCAGGGATGTCGCTTGCCCCAGTCCCAAACCATCTGCCATGGCCAGAGGTTTGGCAACCCCATCTCCTCTGAGATTGCATTGGAAGAGTCCTGTGCTGATGGCTCCTCTCTAACCTGGCCCCGCAGCAGCGGATCACCTCCCGCTCTTGGAGGTGTTTCTCCTGGAAAGATGGGAGTGGGAAAGGGACCAAGGCAAGGCTTTCTCCAGGCCACACAAGAAGCTTGTGGCTGAGCAGGGAGTTTGAATCCTATCTGCCCCAGGCGAGGGTAACATCTAAACAACTGCTCCACCCTCCTGCCTTCCCTGAAGAGATCCCACACTCTCCTGTGCTCCCGAATGAATTATCTCTCCGTGACCTTTGGTCTGTCAGCTTGCAGGATTCATTTTCCAGCATCCGCTAACACGACAGCTCTCCCGCTTCCCCAGGGGAAGCATCCAGGATTCATCTGGGACCTGGTCCCGTCAAGTGCTGCCCAACCCTCCCGGATGAATCCCGCAGGGAACCACGCGTGTGCCACACGCCCGTGACTCTCATTCACAAATAACGGGCAGGACCGTGGAACAGTCCCAGTTCTGCTGTGCTCCCCACCCGTACAGTTCAGGACACGTCCCCCAAGAGAGAGGACGGCACTCACCCACGGCCTCCTCACAAGCCAGGAGCAGGATCCCAGTCCTGCTCCCTTCTCAGGCTCACATGAGGAAAAGCAAAGGTCCTTTGGGATGGAAAGGGCCAACCTGGGAGAACCTGAATGGAAAGGGCCTGCAGGGTCCCTGCTCGTGGGGAGCAGACGTTCGAATCTCTGCAGCAACCCGAAGTAACCCAGGGCTGCTCCGAACTGGGTCCTGCAGCTCACCGAGCCCTTGACAAGCACCTCATCGCCAGGGAAATACACCTCGCCAACAGCTTGAAACCCAAGAGACAACGTCCTGCTGCTGACCACCTCTGAAACCACCTCTGAGCCTCTGCCTCAGTTTCCCCTTCCCCTATATCCACATACCCTATTTGCCACGCAGTGGGGGAGATGCACGCACATCCCCGGCCCACCCAAAGGCACCGAGCGAACCTACTGGGGTTCATCGTTTCACCTCTGCTTTCCCTGAGCAGTTCTGGGAAACGGGCCATATGGCCACAAGGCTGGTACGTGCCTGGGACAGACCTGCCCTTCCTGATTACCTTCCCAAGGCTTATTGCTAACACGCTGCCTCGCTGCGTCTCATTCCAGCGTGGGAATGAATCATCCTACCTTTGAATGCTCGCTCGGATTTTCCCTTCCTTCACAGGCTACCCAGAAACAAAAGAACCAAGAGCGAAAAGGGGGTGTGGGATATTCCCACCGTGCTGCCGGCTTCGCTCTCAGCACGACCCTCCCACCCCGTCACGCGTTTTGGCTGATGGCAGGTCCCCTCAACACCAGCACGGGGACCCTGGAGCACAGCGAAGGGCACGGGGCTCGTCCCTTCCTGGGCTGCAGGTGTGACCTCCATCCCCTTGAGACAGACCTGCTGCCGCCCCCAGACCCACCATCCCTCTTACGCTGTCCTTGGGGTGGGTGGAAATAATCTCTGGGAGTGTGGGGAGGGGGGTTGAATGTGTTCGTACTTGCCTTTCCTGGAATATACTGCAGGATTTTGTCTGTGGTCGTCTCTCTCTCCCGCCCTCCTTCTATACCAAAAAAGCTGGGCAGTTTTTTCTTGCCATTTTGTCTACAGAGGGGAGGAAAAAAAAAAAACAAAACACGCATGCAAACACAGACCTAGGCTGATGCATAGTGAATTCTGCCCAGAAATAAGGAAGCCAGAAAGCTAAGCAAGCAATTTGTCACGGGCTTTCTAATCATCCCAGCCCAGCAAAGGGCTGATAAACAACCTGGGAGAATTGTAATGGGGTTCATGCTGCACTTGTTGGTGTTTTTTTTCCTTTTTTACATGCCTTTGCATAACCAAATGATCAGCTAGGCTCATCTGTGTCTCCAAATCAGCGGAGGGACCAGATGTTCCATTGCAAAATACAAAGACCAAATCCAGTCCTGACAACTATTGCAAAGCCCCTGGCGTGGCGATGCGTATGTACACATACACCGCCGTATACTCACAAACAGGTTTTATTTCTATCTTTGTGGTTTTCCTCTCTCTTTCCCTTTTTTCCGCTCCCAGCAAGGCCCCCAGCTTCTCTTCGCACACACGCCGCTAACGAGCAGTTCCCGACGCCGTTTAAGAAGCACTGGGACTGCTTTGTCGGGATTTCCCAGCAGTTGCTCTCTCTTTCAACCAGATTGCAGCGTTTAGTTCAGCAGAAATCAGGCTTATCTCTGCGGAGAGCCACGAGCGTGGGAAGCCGGGAGTCAGCGGGGACAGGAGGTGTTCTGGGGCTTGGCTGCTCCCCTGAGGGGAGCCTGATGTCAGCCCTCCAGGGGCCAAATTCCCCGACTGATCCCCTCTTTTTTACCCCACAGCAGCTCCACGGACTCCTATAGGTTTGCTCTCAATTTATGGCAGCACAGGAGACCAAGGGGACAGTTTCAAGCGTCTCCTCTGGATTAGAGACCCCTCAGCCTAGGGGAGTTTATGGAGTTTGTCTCAAAGCTCAACAAATATGCTGAATCCAGCGTAAACGGGGTTGGTGAGGAATCACCCCGGTTCCCGACAGAGCTCCTTTCCAGCCCTGAGCACTCGGGATGGGGAGGGCTCCGCTTCGCGGGCGCTCAGGTACCGGCAGCACTGTGACTGCGCTGATGGGAGCACGGGCAGCGGGAATGGCAGGGCGCAGCGAAGTTTGCTCGGCTCTATTTTGGGACAGCCGTCCATCGCTGGGGTACCTGAACGCTGCCCTGGCCAGCCCGGCACTGAAGTCCCCAGAGGATTTCACAGACATTTTCTGTTGTGTCTTCTTTCAGGGTTACAACCGCAAGTCAAATGGTATGGGTAAGAATGTTGGGATTTGGGGCTTTCTCTCTGAAGCGAGAGGAGCGTGAACGTTGTTTTTTCACAACACAGCGCCGCAACTCTGGGCGTCGCGAATTAAAAAAAAAAAAAAAAAAGTTGCAGGTGAAAACAAGGAGTGTCAGGCATTCTGCACCTTGCCCTGCCTGCCCCATAGAGGGGGGGTTTAATTTTCAAAGTGAAATGAAATAAATCGCGTTCCTCCCAGGGGCAGCGTCGCTGGGATACTCCGCCGGCAGAGCCCTGGCATTCCTTCCCCAGCACTTGTGGGGAGCGGATCGCGTTTGGCGCTGCCCAGCACCCCGCAAAACCATGCGAAAACCCGATTCTGCTGAGCACGTAAATCATTCCTGGGTTTCCTGAGCAGGGCTCGACTGCCAGCCCAGTTCTGCGCGGTGCATCGCACCGGGAAAAGTCGGGAGGGAAGCCAGCCCCACTTGAAAAGCAAGTCCCAAGTAAAAGCGAGCGTACTTACTCTTTCTTCAGCGAAGGCTTCCTTCTGAAAGAGCCCCTGAGCCTCCCAGGTGCCTGAGGAACACAAGTTATGTTCCCCATGCCGGCAGCGACTGGAAGCGCCCAGGAGGAGGGGAGAGGTTTGTGTGTGTGTGTGTGTGTGTCACGCAGACGCTCCCCTTCCGCTCGCCGTGACTCGGG